ACCCATACTTGTTCAATCAGTACACTTGTGAATGGAAAAGTCAGAGCCCAAATCCAAACATCTGACACAAAGATACTTTTACCACATCTCTTTTACAGTGAAACATTGAATGTATACGTGGGCTGTGAATAAAGTGACCATATAATTTCTTGTCCAAATTTGAACACTTGAGAATAAAAAGGGGCATTACATTAATAATTATACCAGGACATATGATCACTCCAGCTATCAATGGGTAGTTACGCTGAAAAAAATGTAAGCTAGAGATTGCCTGAGGTAGAAATAGTAGCCAAGATCTTGGGTAGAGTTCTCAGAGTGAAATCAAAAGTAAAAATTATTACATCAGTGGTTCTCAACCTGGGATGATGTTGGTCCCCAGGGAACACTTGGCATGTCTGAAGACCTTTTCACTTGTCACAATTTAGGGGGAGGGTTGCTAATAGTATCCAGTGGGTAAAGAGAAGGGATGCTGGGAAAAACCCCACAATGCACAAGATTGCCTCCCACAACAAAGTTACTCAGCCCAAACTGTTAAGGAGTGTGGAGGTAGAGAAAATCTGTATTAAAAATTAAAAGGTTTGGCTGCTTAAACATATGAAACATCTGCACTTCAACCTCCCCCACTCCCCAAACTGCCGAAAATATTCAAACCTTACATTACAAAGAGGTAATAATCCAATCTATATACAACAAGAACTCTGGACAAAGGCAAACACTCAATAGCAAAATGGACAAAATTTACTGCCAAACACAAATGACCAATAAACATTAAAAAATTCCCCCAAACAAAAAAATTACCTCCTCAGTAATCAAAACAACTTGATTGAAAAGGACATATCTAATGTCTCCTATAAACCTGGTGTAGATTTTCAAATACACAATGTTGGTGATGAGTTTCATATACTGCCAAATGGAAGTATAAGTTGATTTGAAAACAAACAAACAAACAAACAAATAAAAGGCCTTCTGAGAAGAAAAACATCATATCTTTATAATTACAATTTTTTATTTGAAAACTACACATCTTTTAACACAACCACACAATTTTGGGAATCTATTGAAAGAAATAGTTAAGGAAATGTTCATCGATTTAGCCACAGGAATTTCAGCTTAGCATTGGTTATTTTGAGCAAAAGACTGGAAATCTCTAAGATGTCAAATAAGGAGAAATTGATTAAACAAATCATGGTAAATCTATAAACAACTCTTAAAAATCATGTTAGAGTAAATACTGACATAGAAGGATGTTCATGATATACTACGTATATGAAAAAAATACGACTATATATTATATAAATCATTTATGTGAGAAGTTAATATATATGTAAAGATGCATATGTATGTGCAAAAAAAGTCTATAATAATATAAATCAAAATGTTAAAAAGTGGATCGTTGGGTGGTGGAATACAAGTGCTACGAGGACAAGGAATTTTGTTCTCTAACACACAACAACAGTATCTGGCATAGGGAAAAATAAAATAAAAGTTGTTATTGTTATTTTGCTTATCTATATTTACTCACTGATATGCAATGAAAAAATTATTTGCATAATAAATTTTTTAAATGTTGCTTTCAAAAAGAATAATTCAACAGCAAAACTAAATGTTACAAATAATAGAAATAGAAATGCCATCTACTTCACATGGCCATAAGGTTTAAATAATTTATGTAAATATGTTTTATAAACTCTAAAGCACTGTATGAATGTTAGAAATTAATTATTTTGTTAAGATCATACATTCCAAAGTTAAACCAGCTTCATATACACTTTGTTTGGTAGCCTTCCTCTCAGGAATTTCACTTCCAGTATTTTGTCTTTTAAAAATAATTAGAGATTGGTGCAATGTCACTAGTAGAAGCAAAAAGTTATACAAATAGAGAATTGGTTAAGAAAGTTGTGGGCACATCCATAAAATGGAATAGTATGTCACCATTAAAATTTATCCCGTAGAAATGTATTTATCAACATATACTCTTAACCTCTATTAAAAAATTCATATATATGTAACATGAGTAAAATAATTCCCCAATACAGCTTATTATAGCATCTATTATTTTAAATACTTAAAATAATTATGATAATTCTTATCTTTTTCAATTTCTTAATTCATTCTACTTAAATCTATTCAGCTTTTCACTTTTAGTTACTTATTTCTCAAGATCTGATCAGTTAAAACCATCTATAATATTTTATCTTTCAGTTGCTAAATTAAAAACATTTCGTAGATTGCTTTCATCTTCTGAAGGCATACCAGCTTTAAAGCCACACTGATTTCAAATGAAGCGTGTGTATATTTTACAAAACATATATGTAATTCCTTTCTACATTTTAATGTTACTGGTTTCTTATATACATCTCTTTATGCACTAGTCACTACTTCATAAATCAGAAGCTGAATTTCATTTTCTCCCCTTAAAACAAATGTAAGAATAGTTTTCCAAAGCTTTATTTTTCATACTTTCACAGAGAGATCATAGAAGTAGGGTAAAAAGAAGAACCACTCAGAACTAAATTAATAACAGCTAAAAGAAAGTATTAAAAAAACATGAACTGTTATTTGAATCCTTTTATAAACATGGACAGTAGGAAAATTTTTTCCCACAGAGCTCTATTAGAAGCCAAAGAACTTTTAAACATACCAACCACCTATACAATTCTTTTAAGTTGAACACCAGCTCTTTAAAAAAAGCAGTAAGCTCTTCCTTTTCACCCGGACTATTTCTTTATCTACTATTCAAAAACTCAGTTAAACCCTTGTTGCCTAGTGCTCTTTGTTCTGCTTATACTAATTAAAAGCACTAATGAAAATAGCATCGAATTAATTTAATTCTATGTGACTGCATTCCAACATTAGAACTAAAATATTTCCAACATGTTATTTATAAAACATTATAATTTGGGAAGCTGATCAATATCATAACAACAATGGAATTGTACAATGATGAGAGTCATTAAGATTTTTAAAGCACTGTGATGCTTCCAAATGAAATTAAAAGCCCCAGACAAGTAGAAGGAAGCAATATGATGAATATGAGAAGGTGAAGCAATTATTCATGTGTCCAAGAAGCAGCAACTAAGGGTCACTCCCACCACTGAAGAGGCCTGTGGGGGATGAGTGACGTGTGGAGGAGGAATATGAAAGCATTCTAAAGGAAGAACAGGGGAAGCGTGTAACTGAGATGCAGAACAGGGATGGAAAACCAACCCGAGCAGGAATTATTAACAGAAGAGGCAGACGTTGAAATTTGTCAGTACTAGAAAGAATCCCATCATGTAGTCTGTGGCTTCCTCCAGGAGTAGTTTTAAAATCAATAGATCCTAATTCACTCCCTATAGTAAATAAGCTTCCTACAGACTACAAAATAAAATGGCCATCTAAACTCACAGTCCTTTTAAAGTTTCTAAAACCTTGGTCTATGCTCAGTTTCCGCAAATTTCTGTCTAAATGTAAATTATTCCATTTTTTTCCCCTCCAGATACCGTCATGCTACAACTGACATGTTTTTTTCTCCATGATAAATTCTTGAACCACCATTTTTAGGGCAGGGGGTGAGGGTAGGGGGTAGAAGCTTAAACTCAAGGTGGCTCTGTATTACGTTTTGTAATATTTTGGGATTTATGCTGAACCATTTCATGCTTATAAGTTTGTTGCCGTTATTGTTTTGTTTTTTTAGAACCCCTCCACTTTTATTTTAAATTTTTTATTTAAATAGATATAATTTAAATAGGAGACAGCAGTTAGTACTCAAGGGTAAATACAACTCTTCAATTTAAAAAGAGCCTGAAAATTAGAATGAATTCCTGGCTGAATCTTATGACCTAAATTTGTAACTAAGTAAAGGTAATAATTTTAAATTTTTTTTTTTTTTTTGAAAAATAGACCCAAAATAGCCATCTGAATCTATTTTGCTTATATTGCTTTTCATTCAAATTTTCATTAAAAACATGTTCATTGTGAAACCAAAATTATTCTCTTAGCCAAGAAATGTGGGAGGGTAGCAAAAGGAAGGAGCAACTTGGAAGAGATGGCGTCGTGGGTTATAGGAGTGGATAATACTTTTGGTAAAGAAGGAGGGTTATTTGAACCTCACTAAAAGACTTTTGACATTAAAAATAATAACAAAAAATAAACCTTATTTGAAATAGATTGATACTTCTCCAAGTAGCTGGTAATACATTGTAAAAAGTACAGTGACTTCAGGTATTATCAAACTAAAATTCCCGTATTTTGTGGACTACCAACTGATACACCAACTCAGCCAAGCTGTTTTTCTGCTGGTAACTTGAATTCCTGTTTTAAAACTATGCCAATTCCTCTTGGGTGTTCTGGTGATATAAACAACTTTCCCTAAGTTTTAGCCAAGACTTTTTCACTATAGTATCTTATGAAAAAGCCACAACGTTGGGGCACACCACAATGACCAGGCAGGGGAAAAAAACTATTTTAGAGAATTATTTTGATGTTTAAAATAATAGGGAAGAAAAGATGTATTAAAAATAATATACCAATTAGTTTTTTGATATATTCCGATTCCATATACCAAGTTTACTAAATAGTGAATTACTAATTTTTTTAAAGCTAGATATATTTGTTTAAAATATTTTGTATAGCAGAGATCTGTTGTATAGCAGAGATCTGAAATGCAAAGAAATCTGACCAAAGAAGAGCACATAATAATAAGCTCAGGGGAATGTATCTGAAATGAGTAAGAGTAGAAAATCTGACAGCTCTAAAATACTTCCAAACTGAAGATGTCCTGGTCATCTGAAGCAGATACACTATTGCTCTTTCACCTGAACATATTTGAAAACTATTCACCTCGCAAGAAAAGACAAATCGGTTATGTAACCCAGAGACCTCTATAACATATAGGGTGTTACAAATTCACAGCACTTCTTCGTGTATATATATGATTTTGAAAGGTTTTTTTAAAATGTGATCATATACAATCTAGGAAAAAGTAATGCCATAATCTAGCTGAAAGGTGACAAACTGACCTGATTGATGGAGTTGGCAGCACAGGATGCAAGGCCTGTTCCAGCAAAAGTAAGCAGGAAACAGGACCAGTCAAAAGACCCTGGAGCCAATGCAAATCCAGCTGAAGTAGTACTGACAACTAGAGCTGCAATACAGAAACAAAGCAGATGTCTTGTTACCAACACAGATTCCGGACTGTAAATGCCAAAAACAACCCATCTTCCATATAAACCAGCTGATTATATTAATAACACAAACTACAGGCTAATCTTTCATTAAAAATTTTTTTTAAAATTTATGTTCATTATAGAAAAATGCTCATTTTCCTTTAATTCCATTATACTCAAGAGAAAAAGAAAAGATAGTTCTTTCAGATTCAATCATTCACTTATTCATTCAATAAACATTTATTGAATACCTACTTCACAATCGGCACTATGCTGGGTATTATGCATTATATGGAATAAAGGTATATAAGGTCTCATTCTTGCTCTCAGGAAATTTGACAGGGAGATGAAAGACATACATTAATAACTATAAAACACAAGGTAGTAAATAATAAGGGTCCTAATTCTATGGCAAGCTCCAAGCAACCTGAGTAGAGGGATTCTCCATAAAGGAAGATGGTCCCAAGGGCAAGAAGATGATTAGAGGATGACTAGAGGGAGACGATAATCCTACAGCCATCAACAGGAACAAAAAGAAGAGGCAAGGTGCAGAAGCAACACTATGCAAATCAAGCATCCACTATGACTGCTCCTTTTCTTTAGGCCCTGGTACTTCTTTCCTGAGGGCTCTATAGAAGCTGACAGGCCAGAAAGCGTCTAAGAGTGGTACTGATACATGGCTATAAAATTGAAAAAATGATCACCATTAGTGGGCTCATCAGGGAAGCCTTCAAAAAGATGGCATTTAAGTTGGACTTTCAGGAGGGGATGTAGGAAAGGAGGAGAATAGTGGGGTGGGAGTCTATGGCCATGCCACCCTGAACAAGCCCGATCCCGTCTAATCTCGGAAGTCAAGCAGGGTCAGGCCTGGTTAGTAGTTGAATGGGAGACCACTTAAGAAGACCAGGTGCCGTTAGGCGTAAAAAAATAAAAAATAAAATAAGGAAAAAAAAGAATAGCAGGGTGGGCAACATTACAGGTGGCTGGGTAATTCCAAGAACAGGCATAGGGGCAAGAAAGACCAATGTCAAGAGTCTAAAGTATCATGACTTCTGCCTAGATTTTCAAACCAAACATCTAGGAAGCATTTTTGAGTGTCTCCTTTCTTACCCTTCTCTACATCCCATCTATTGCAATGTACTGTCTGTCTTTCCTCCACAATGCATTTTAAATTATCTTTGTTGCCACAGACTAGTCCAATGGTTCACAATCAGGGATGGTTCTGCCATCAGGAGACATCTGGCAATGCCTGAAGACACACTGGTTGTCACAACTGGAGGAGGTGGATACTGCTGTCCTCTAGTGGGTAGAAGCCAGGGATGCTTCTAAACATCCTATGGTACATAGGACAGCCTCCCAAAACAAAGACTTTTCTGACCCAAAATGTCAATAGTGCTGCAGTTGAGAAACATGTTATCTAGTCCAAGCTATTATCTTGCCTAGATAATTGCAGGGGACTCGTTCCTAACTGGTGTTCTTGCTTTCACCTTGCTCCTCTCCTGAAATGACATTTTAAAAGTATACACAGATCATATCACTTTGCTTAAAAATCTCTTGATACTATACCTGGAATAAAATGCAAACTCTT